TTTTTATCAAACACATATAGCAACATTTGCATATCATGCATACTTTAGCCACATTTAATATCGATTTAAACTCCAGCAATATTTTGTTTGTCATTAAACTTACTATCATTTAGATGTCATAATCACTGTACACCACCTAGCTATAATGAACAAACTGGCAACATCGGATTAGCAGGTTTATTTTTTTTTTAACCTTTCTGCATATCCATCTTTATTGAAAACTTTAGCCATATCATCATCATGTGCCCTGCCAGGTACCGTAGGTGTTTATCTGTCTCCAGAAGAAGAAGAAGGCATTAAATATCAACTGGCTTAGAAATCACAGTAGAAGGCATGGTCCATGTTTCAGTCATGTGTAAGTGTGAGCTTGAGGTAGAAGAAGAAGAAGAAGGCATTAAATATAAACTGACTTAGAAATCATGGTAGAAGGTGAGGTCTATGTTTCACAGCCATGTGTAAGTGTGAGCTCGAAGTAGCAGCAGAAGAAGAAGGTTTTCTATATCAACTGGCTTAGAAATCACAGTAGAAGGCATGGTCTATGAAACAAGAGGTTGAGATGCACCAACATGAAAGTGACCACATTAACTCTTTCAGTCAAAAGGAATGCATCAAACATTAATTGGTTCTTGCCTAGAAGCTGAATGAATGAAGAATGAATGATTATGTTTCTCTGTACTACCCCTTGAATTTTGATGCTTAATCCCTAGGATTGAAAGAGGTAAAGTCTCTATATGTATGAAACTGCATAAGGCAGATGTGGTGAGGTTTAAAGATTCATTCTGGCAGGTTGTGGTCAATGCACATTAGTTTGCTCAGTACTGCAATGCAACAGTCACTCCAAGGTACTTCTACTGATTGTTACTAGCACAACTGCTGTGTGAAAGATGGGTGTTTGGAAGGGCTGAATGTAAGACGGGCCTGAGTGCTTAATTTGTGACCCTTTGAAAACAAACTGTTTGTTTGTTTGTTCCCTTTAGAGGTCGGTTATAATGTCTCCCATCTTGACCTCAAAGATGGCATAAAAGCGCTTCACTCACAGGTCATGCAATCATGTTAGCATCAGATATTCATCATTATCCAACAGACAGGTTTATTCAGCATTGATGATATTAGCTCTGCACTGGTGCAATTTAATAGTGTCTGTACTTGCTGAACATGTTTGAAATATTACAGTACAATTTACCATGCAACATGCAATCTGATAAGTTGTAAATATCAGTACTTTATAAGTACAAACTTTACAGCATATATATACACCCCCTGTTCAAAGTAACAATACATCCTCATGCCTGCACTTATTGCTCAAATTATTTTATATCTTGACAGACACCCCCATTTAATACATTATGACCAATTACGTAATTGCTAGCACAATCTTTCAAAATATCACAGTAAATATTCACATAAAATGAAACAATATGCACATAAAAATAATCAACGTTCACGTAAAAAAAGAACAAAACAAAATTATGTTTGTATATACTGCACACATAACCAGAAAGTTCCCAGCCAACATAGCGGGTGCCAGCGATGTTTGTCTTCAGAAATCCAAGCAATCAGTGCTGTAAGAAACTACTTCCATGATCAATGAGCACTGTATGTCTCTTTCTTATCAGTGCCATTTATGATTTTCTGTCATTAGCCTTTTTCAAGGCAATCTTTGTTAGTTACTCTGGCTGTCCAGGGTATTCATAATATTTGTTTCAGAAATATCATGTCTGTTAGCTCAAAGTTTTTCAAATACTCTCAGTATTTGAGAGACAGTGTGTTTTTTACGTTGACTGATATGATATTAAAACTCTGAAACTTGTTTCTGCCATAAAGATTCACTGTCATGGCAGTAATTGGCAGTGATTTAAATAAATTGTGAATTTTATTGTTGCTTCTCATTCTCCACTGTTTGCAACTTAGTTTCTATAACTATTTTAACTAGTAGCAAATCTTACACATATATCTTGAAAAGTAACATAATTAAATAGGATTTAATTGTATTGAATATTCAAGCATGAAAATAATACAGCATCCTATTTTTTTTAAACCATTAAAGCCCTCTCCCATTTTTCAAAAAGAAATTGTGAAGTGTTTGTGAAAATTTCAAGAAACAAAATAATTTGTAAATACCCTACAAATAAAATGCTAAAATGGCTGACAACTTAATAGATCCCCAAAAAATTCTCAACAAAAACCTTTAATAAACAAACATAAGTGGGTGAAATATTAAGTTAAGCAAAGACCTTCTTCTTCAGTGTTTGCTCTTAAAAAATGCGGTTGGCACAGTGTTGTGGTTTACAGCTAGGCTGCAATATCTGTATTTTATGCCCAACACACTAGATTTCAGTAAACCTAGTCACCTCTTATGAAATGCCTGTTAGAGAGGCAGTGGGTCCATTATCCACCCCGCCATCACAAAATGTGAGCCTGGAACCCACACAGGGACAATCTTGGGTCAGGTCTGTGTTCTTGTCCTGAACATACAATAAGCCCTTCCCTCGAAGTCGGAGTACATCTGCCCGCGAGGCAGGGAACAGCAAAACGGTTGTACACGCAAAACTCAGGTCCAGGTAAAAGCCAAAAGTCCAAGCGGTAGATTAACCGGGACCTTCCGCCGGAATTCACAGCCGGTGAACGAAGAAGAAGAAGAAGACAATAAGCCCAAGTCGTCCTGGTACTCCTATATATATATATATATTCTGTTCGCTCTTTTCTCATCATGTTTGCCAGCTGTTGCTCAGTTTTCCAGGGTATTTCTCCTTACAACATGCCAACAAATCTGGGCTTTTTACAGCGGTGACTTAAAAAACCCCACAATATTAAGACCACTTGGTAAATAATCAATTTGTTCATACGGTTACAGAACATTGTATCCACTGCTATTTTAGCATCCACTCTAGACAATGTGTCTGCAATCACCATTCTACCCTAAAAATAGGAGTGGATGCTATACTCCATTACAGTATAGAAATATCCATTATTTACCTACAGCACTGTGTATTTAGCTTCAGAAGGCCATGGTTAAGCACCAGCAAGGAAATAAAACTAAATTTTTAAGGCAAGCATCTTTCATGCAGCAACACACAGATGTGAGTTGTGGACTATCTCCTAGTCCTTGAGAAAGAAAATAGGCGATTTTGAGCTGAAATGTGTTAGAAAGATTCTCAGAATATCATGGACAAAGAAGAGAAAAACTACTGACTTTGTAAATCAAGGAAGATTGGCTAATAAACAGCATCTTGTCTTGGAAGGTGAAATATTTTGGTCATTTCAAGTGCCATAGTGGATTGGAAAAATAATAGCAGAGGGCATAGTACCAGGAAGGAGGGACAGAAGCCAACCAACATGAAGATGGGCACATGATATAAGTGACTTCTTGAATACAAAAGGGCATGAAGCAGGAGAGATGGTGAGAGAACAAGCTCCATTCAGGCAGACCGTGATGAGAACAATGTTCTGCAAGGGACCTGTTGCATGATGATGATGATGATGATGATATGTATATGTATATCTACAGCAATACCTCACTTATCTAAATCACAATGGTTTGATTAGTTGCGTATCCTTTATAGGATGTTGCAGAACCAACCCCAACAGCCCCTGGCTGTTGTGTGGTTTTTCTAGGCATATTTACGTCAAGTAGTTTGCCATTGCTTTCTGGACAGTCGGCTTTCTTGATACCACTGTCGAAACCAATGCAAGGCGCATGGCCCGCAGCTGGGATCGAACCCAACATCCCGGCATTACGAAGCATTCGCATCGACTTAGCCACAGAGCCGACAAGTCACAATGACATAAGAAAAATCATAACTGCATTTCAAGTAAATACTTTCCCTTTTCTTTGGTCAAGAAAGGAATGGATCAAAGTGTCCGAGAACTAGGGTTCTAATCACTTTCAGTCGTAATTGCAGGGACTGGCCAGCTGGTGCTGCAGAATCAGAAGTTCAACAAATGATTCATGACAGTTCCCGCCCAAGTGATGTGATTGTCTATACAGATGGCTCTAAATGAAGCGTATAGGGGTTCATAACAAAAGCGAATGGATGTCGCGCAGTGCAGCAGAGCCTGACATGATATCACATCTAGTTTGAGAATGGAGGTGGAGGCAGTCACTGCTGCCTTCTGCCTGGATTGAGAATCTGCTGTACACACATGTTGTAATTGTAACTGACTCACAGAGTATGCTGAGAAAGGTGGAGACAGGCATGCTCTGTGCAGAATGGCCAGCATCACTTCAGGGTAGTTAGCATCCTGTGGATATTTTCTCCAGGTCATGCTGGTGTTTTGGGAAATGAGCAGGCAGACAGACTGGCCAATGCTGCACCACTTGGTGGTGAATTTATGAATGACAAGCTAGATGTTGCGAGGGCCATTTGGTATTGAGTGAACAGTGCTGAGGCATAAAGAGATCATTATGGTCCGAGGAGAATGGCATTGCTAAGATTTACGAGGGGATCTGGCCAATGTTCAGTACTCAAGGGAAAGGTGAGATGGATAAGCAATTAGCCAGTTACTGGTGCCAACAGAATTGTAACTCTCCGCTTGCTGCTGAAGATAGGGACGGAACGCTTATGGGAGTGTCCAGAGTGCTATGATGTTGACTCTCAATTCAACACTTAACATCAGTCAGAAAATCAGAGGGAAAATAGATGTCACTTTTGAGGGTTATTTTGCTAACGTTTCACCATGATTATTTTTTAATGGAACTTAGCTACCATTTTCTTAAATTTCAGTTTGATGTGAGTGATCTTTACAAATACTTTGCATACAATTTTGGTCAGTAATTTACATAAAATCATAAAATGAAGCTGCATTTATGAATCTGTATGTAATGACACATTGCTTCTCACGTAGTATTTTATCAGTTAAGAATAAGCTGTGCGTGATATGTTTTGTACCCACATTTTTTTGTATCCAACCACAGATTACATCAAAGCCCTACAGTTATTTGAGAAATTTAGTTAAGTCCAAATACAACAGCTTTGTGCTGCCAGGGATGATTGCCATTTTCATGTCTTCAAGGCGACCACAATAATGACGGTAATGATAATTGCAATGACTAAGAAAATGACAACCAGGCAACACATCTTCTTTCTGGACTTGCTCTGTGAACAGGAATAACATTGCATCATTGCTACAAAATGTATTGGATAAGTATAGCATTCTTAATTAAAAGACAGTATACATACAAATAGTCAAACTAACTGACATAATTTGTAGACTTACTTTTTAAAAGCCACATCAGTTACTCATAAAAGAAAATATATTTATTTTTAAGAATGAATGTAAATGTAATAATGTTCTTCAAATTTATATTTTCAGAACTGATTTCGTCAGTAGTTGTGTACTGGAAATATGTTTCTATTTACTTGAATTTATGCTTTCATCACTAAGACAGAGTGGAGCATGTTCAAATATGACATTATTGCACTCAGGACACTCCCACTCATGTTTTGTCTCCTTCCTCAGAGTAGCAACTGCTGATTCACTTAGGCTCTTCAGTAGAACAATCTGTACTGCAGTGGATTCTGGGTCACTGTGGTTTGGAAGGCAAATAAACAGTGGACAGATTGGCCAGAAGCAGCAATGACATGGTACAATCAAATAGTGACTTAACCCACCAAGAGACAAAGATAATACAATATAGTATCCGAGAAAGGTGGGTGGATACAAACACCATATTTTCTTCTCAAGACTCACTTCATTATCTTTCTAGAGAAGGACAATGTGTTATATTCAGACTATGGACAGGGCATAACACTTTGTCAACTTTCTGGTGTATAAAACATGGAGACATGTCTTTGCAGCATAGCGTCAGAAAATTCTGAGCATGTGCTCCAACACTTTCAACTGTATGCTGCTAAATGAGATGCAATATGGCCTGCTCCAACCTTAATGAAGACAAAGTTGTACGGTACATGAGGAGATATGGACTGCAAAAAAGTCTTCATAAAGGATTTCCGTCTCCTGATTTAATTCTTCTGACAGTAGGATTGAAGAAGAAGACATCCTAAGAGATCTAAACACCAAGGAAGATTGGCCAGTAAACAGCATCTTGTCTCGGACGCTGAAAAACTTTTGCCATATCATTCACCATGGTGTACTGAAGAGAATAATAGTAAAAGACATGGTACCAGGAAAGAGGGGTCAGAGCTGGCCAGCACTAAGATGGGCACAGGAAATAAGTGTACCTTGGCTTGGGTAGGAAAGTGCATGAGGTGGAAAAGCTGGCCAGCACTAAGATGGGCACAGGAAATAAGTGTACCTTGGCTTGGGTAGGAAAGTGCATGAGGTGGAAAAGCTGGCAAAAGTGTTTTTTCTTCCAGACAGATCATGATGATGCCATTCAGCAAAGGATCTGCAACATGATGATAAACAAAACATAACTCAAAATGATGGCAGAGGAAAAACAAAGAAATTTACAACTGAATTACCTGGTACTTTGCAGCACTAACCAGCTGTTCATTTCCTGCTTCCACATTTGTTGCAGCCCGCTCCACATTGCTGTCAATTGTGTCTAGTGTAAAGAAAGTGATCATAAAATGCATTAGGTACAACAAAACCAGTGTCTTTCTTTCTGTAGCTACCTCATCAAAGAGTTGGGGTGTGAGGTGCGGGAGGGGGGGTGTGTGTGTGTGTGTGTGAGATGTAAGGATATTCAGTAAATACACCTAAGACACAAGACATTAACTTTATAGGATAGAGTGTAATTTAACAAATACATCTAAGACATAAGCTTTAAAGAAGGCCTTGTAATTTAACAAATACATTTAAGACAAGACATTTACATTAACTTCATAGGATAGAATGTAATTTAGCAAATAAATCCAAGACATAAGACTTTATAGGATAGAATGTAATTCAGCAAATACATCCAAGACATAAGACATTAACTTTAAAGGACAGAATGTAATTAATCAAACACATCTAAGATATAAGACATTAACATTACATATAGGATATAATGTAATTCAGCAAATACATCCAAGACATAAGACATTAACTTTAAAGGACAGAAAAGGACAGAATGTAATTCAGCAAATACATCTAAGATATAAGACATTAACATTATATATAGGATAGAATGTAATTCTCAAATAGCCTACATCCAAGCCATAAAACAATAACTTGACTTTATATGATACAGTGTAATTCAGCACATATATCTTAGACATAAGACATTATATTAACTTTATAAGATAAATCATAATTCAGCAAATACATCTAAGATACAAAAGTAAGTGACAGCAAAGAACCATTTTCATGCATTGATGTTTACTGGCTGCTTGATTTTAACCATGAGAACAAAAGAAGTCACTGCCTTCATAGATCTCACCAAAGTTTTTAACCCTTTGGAGTCGGAGCCTTTTTGAAGTTTCGGTGCCAAGAAGACGGAGCCTTTTTGGAGTTTCCGTGCCAAGAAGACAGGGCCTTTTTGGAGTTTCTGTGCCAAGAAGACGGAGCCTTTTTGGAGTTTCGGTGCCAAGAAGACGGAGCCTTTTTGGAGTTTCCGTGCCAAGAAGACGGAGCCTTTTTGGAGTTTCCGTGCCAAGAAGACGGAGCCTTCAGGAGGGGATTCTCATAGTTTATACACAAAAAATACAAAAAATAAAGCGTTTAATTAACATTTACAAAACTATATATATTAATGTAGGAAATTGAATGAACTAACAGAATATTTATAAATCAAATTGAAATCTCAACATTTATTTAAAATTACCTATTCTGATTTGCATAATTTAAACTTGGGAACAAACATAACTAACCTGAAAAATGTGGGTGAATTTTTTTTATTGATAAAGCTTGAGTAAGTCCTAACACCTGTATTTTTGGAAGTAAGGCTTTTGGAGGCCCTTCAAACACGTTTTGCACATAGTTCTACTCATTATCCTGCCTCCAGCTATGTTTCGGTTGCTATAACGCAATAGTCCTTTTCGCCATTTTGGGCATAAGCAACCCCCCACAAAAATTGAGGTAAAAATTACAGAACACATCAAACTTTCTCGAAAGCCGTCAATAAACAGCTTACATGTGCAAGAAATACGAGAAGCATTCTGATTGGCTGGTACAAAAACCTGCCAGCCAATATCAAGGCTTCTATTATTTATAGGGCCGACCAATCGGCCCAGTTGTCCTTTTGGCTACTTTGTGTTGGGCCGATATTTTGGCTGCGTCATCTCCAAAGGGTTAATTATGTTAGCAGAGATGGCCTGTTTGAGATCCTTGCTAGATAGGTTCCCTACCCATACTACTGTGCCTCAATGAATCCTTCCATGAGAATATGAAAGGAACCGTCATACATGAAGATTCGTCACTGTCACCCTTTCAGATTCATAATGGTGTAATGCAGAGTTGCATTCTAGCTCCCACAGTGTTTGGCATTTTCTTCACTGCACTGCTTCTGCACACTTTTGGGACAACCATTGAAGGGATTTATCTCTTTATAAGGTCAGATGGCAACCTTTTCAATCTGTCCAGGCTTCTGCAAGGACTAAGGCGCAGACAAAATGCCCCAGGAACTTTCTATTTGTGGATGGTGCAGCCATTACTGTAGATACAGAAAATTATCTGCAGATTATCACCAATCGCTTTGCAAATGCATGCAAAGAATTTGGACTCACCATCAGTCTAAAAAAACACAAGTGATGGGGATGAATGTGGAAAACCCACCAAGCATTAGTGTTTACAACCATGAGCTGTTGGTTGTACATAAAGAACATCTAGATAAAATAAACAGTTACCTAGAACTTCTCCCTGACTCTGCACCATTGCTCCTAGATCTCTGAAGATCTCATTCACATCTAAGATGTCTGACTGAAAAGGAAATCAGAATTTGCTACAATGGTTGAAGAGCAGTCCAGGTAAGCATCACATACAAGTAAAAAGTAAAGCACCTTTTTCCAAGCCTTTAGGCGTATTGGGGATATAGGGCTAGACCTTTTTTTTATAGACCAATCGGCACTTGGTGAGTGATGTGGTCAGCATCACTCCAGCCACCTTTACTTCCCAGGACTGCACCTGGTACCCACTCAAGCTGGGTTGACCTGGGAGTCAAGGTCATTTTTTTTAAAAGTCCGGCTCCATCAAGACGCGAATCCACTATCTTATAATCCACAGGCGAGCGTCTAGCCGCCAACGCCATGGCGACTCCCAAGCATCATTTACTTTATATATTTATGTCATTTATTTTTATTTTGTTTCATTTGTCTACACAATTTATGAATACTGAACGTAATGATTTCAGAGTCAGTTCCTTTCTGTTCATCTGTCAATTCCTTTGTTGTATTTTGTTTATCTTTGTTCTGCTGATGAAGGCCAACCACCAGAATATTATTTTTTTTGTCTGCTATAATTAGACTTGTAAAATTAGCAAACACTTTACATTTTTCCAATTTTGAGAAAGTTTCCATGGGATAAAGTGGCTTTCCAGTGTGATGTGATGATAGTGACATTGTTCAAAGGACCTGCTATATGATGACAAGGTGCATTAGTATACCAATGTGTACATCTGTTCCTCTAAATATAACAGTTTTTACACATTAATGAAATTAATGTTATTAACATTAATGTGGTATTTAATGACAGTCACAATATGTACATGAGTTTTGAGTTAAGAAGTGACATCCCTGAATGCAGAACATTCCCATAAGTGCTCCATCCCCATCTTCAGCAGCAAGTGCAGAGTCCCGGTTCCTAAGGTACCAGTAACAGTCTGACTGTACATCTATCTTACCCTTCCCTTGAGTGTTGAGCATCAACCAGATCCTCAGGTCATTCCTTGCCACACCATTCTCTTTAGACCATAATGATCTATCTGTGCCTCCACACTATTTAATCGCTCTTGAGTTACATTTAAATCAGTTAAAAAAACTATACTAAAGGTCTCATTTCTAAATCTTTTGTCATAATGGTCATTTGATGCTAACACAAATTAACACTCAACAGGGGATGCAGTCAATTTAAAGTTGACTCTGCAGAGCATTTCGTGGCATAGATTTTTGGCTAGCCTGCCCCATGGACTTTGCCAATTTGCAAATACTTTCCCCCCACCATCTTCCATAAGGATTCAAGCTATGACCATCAGGTCAAACAGGAACAGCTGCTAGCCACTGAGATTCTAGGACTCCCTGTAATTAGGAAAATAGATAATTAACTGTATACTACAGTTAGTTAGCTGCATATCTTTACAGCAGTGGTTCTCAACTTTTCTAATGCCGTAACCCTTTAATACAGTTCCTCATGTTGTCTTGACCCCCCAACCATACAATTATTTTGTTTGCTATTTCATAACTTCAGTGAATATGTGTTTTCCAGTGGTCTTTGGCCACTCCTGTGAAAGGGTCGTTTGACCCACAAAAGGGTCATGACCCACATGTTGAGAACTGCTGCTTTACAGGATGTTACAGAATCAATACCCACATTTGCTTTGTTGTTTGTTTTTACTAGGAAATGTTACATTCCATAGCTTGTCATTGTTCTTTTTTTTTTACTGGTCAGTTTTTGATACAACTGTCCAAATAAATGTTTAAGTGGTCTATGCAAGGATCTAGTTCATACTCGACCCCCAGAAGAAAAGATAAGCAAACTTTTCATCAGGTTGCAACTGTCAGAATAAGCAAGGAACTTCTTTATTGCCCGTTTAAAAATGGGTATGAAGCACTTGGGAGAATGTCCTGGGTGGGGAAGAATGACCTGGGTGGGAAAGAATGTCCTGGGTGGGGAAGAATGTCCTGGGTGGGAGAGAATGTCCTGGGGGGGGGGGGAAGAATGTCCTGGGTGGGGAAGAATGTCCTGGGTGGGGAAGAATGTCCTGGGTGGGGAAGAATGTCCTTGGTGGGACAGTGATGTCAATTCTAAATTAGTTAATTCATTCCAGTGTCCTTGAGTAGCCCAATGTCATGCACTGTAACATCTTGCTACAGCTGGTGATTAATGAGGATTATCTCCACAGCACTTGGACAGATCCATAGGTGCTTGATCTCCTCAAATGATCCACAAGCATAAAATGACTGAAGACGCCTGTTCTGTGCTGATTAATTAAACATCTTGTCCCCTTGGTGAAATCTGCAGGGATAAGGTGTCATGCCCTTTGCTGTATTTGTCTTCCCAATACGTGCTGTACATGGTATTGATAACGTGCTGCAGATGGTCCGGTCCAAAGAGCAATAAATATAGTTAACGAATGCTGAATGTGAAGGCAGTTAAGTATTTTCCTAGCACATGAGGTCACTTATTTGTAAATGTATTGACATAAACCTCTGCCGTACTATGCTCGTTGCTTGGCTCGTCTGGTCTGGCAAGGTCTCATGCCACTCTCATATACAGCACACATATGATGCTCACCAGTCCACAGTAAACCAATTACCTTTCTTATAATTTAACAAACGACCAGTAAAAAACTGCAATCACAGACTGTGTTAATAATACTGTATATTTTTTCTTGGTCTTCTCACTGTCAACCGTCACTCAATCATGTTGTTCTCCTTTCTCCCCGTTCATCGCCCAAACTTTCATGTGCAACACATTTTCACTTTTCAAGTCTAAATGTTCATACGATCAATCTTAGCTTTATACACTTAATTGGGTACTCCCAACTGAGCCCTTATCAAGATCATTAGAGGTATAAACTAATGAGTCATTCAGATGGTTCGACAGAGGTTCAGACTTACAGACAACTTATCACAAATATCATTTTTGTGTCCATATTATGAGAAGGAAAAATTGGGACATGTGGTGACAACTGGGACATGTGATGACAACTAGAACATGTGACGATAACTGGAACATGTGACAACAACTGGAACATGTGATGACAACTGGAACATGTGATGACAACTGGAACATGTGATGACAACTGGAAAGTTCAACAACATCTGAAACACGTGATGACATCTGGAACATGTGACGACAACTGGAAAGTGTAACAACATCTGAAACACGGGATGACAACTGGAACATGTGATGACAACTAGAACATGTGACGATAACTGGAACATGTGACAACAACTGGAACACGTGATGACAACTGGAACATGTGATGACAACTGGAACATGTGATGACAACTGGAAAGTTTAACAACATCTGAAACACGTGACGACAACTGGAACATGTCACGAGAACTGGAAAGTGTAACAACATCTGAAACACGGAATGACAACTGGAACATGTGATGACAACTGGAACATGTGATGACAACTGGAACATGTGATGACAACTGGAAGATGTGACAACAACTGGAACATGTGACGACAACTGGAACAAGTGACGACAACTGGAGCAAGTGACGACAACTGGAGCAAGTGACGACAACTGGAACAAGTGACAACAAATGGAACATGTGACGACAACTGGAAAGTGTAACAACATCTAAAACACATGATGACAACTGGAAAGCTTTATGGAAAGAGAGACAGAGGAAGATAAGAAAAGATTGCTGACAGCTTTTTGTTATGGTATGAAAGGATATCAACACAAGAACTGATGCCTGCTGTTGGAGTTCGTAAGATGTGGAGAAGCATGGTTGCCCATGCTAGTGACAAGATACTCAGAGATCATGTTATGTATTCTTTTTCTTCAAACAAAAAATTGAGAAGCACTTGGGAAAATGTCCCGGGTGGGGGAGAATGTCCTGGGTGGGAGAATGTCCTGAGTGAGAGAATTGTAGTTACACTGCAATATTTTGGCCCAACACATCCAATTTCCGCAAACCCAAAATTAGTCTCCTTTAATTACATGCTTGTCAGGGCCAGTGACTCACATTTTTCTCTCTACCAAAATGGGACTTAAAAACCAACAATGGAATTATATGCTTTAATGCAACTTTTTAGCTAAACAACAAAAGTATATATATGTATATACGTATAGTATATATGTTAATATTTTACAATTCTATACACAACATCGGCAAATACTCGTTTCTTAAGCTGTCTCACCTCAAGTTGACGAATACGTTGCTCTCTCTCCAGAATAAGAGCCAAATCATCTTCGATAATCTCTTGGTCTTTAAAAACTTGTGCTTGTCGCTGGTCATCCTCAAAGTCTTCATTGAGCTCAATATCACTCTAGCAGAAAAGAATGAGTCAACAGTTTAATCCTGGACATATACAGAATCAACGACACAGGTAACTCTATACTCAAAACCACAGGTATGTAAAGTAATGTGACTCCAGATATGCTAGGTCATAACACCATGAGGCAATACCACAGCAGTGTAAAGTAATGTGACAGTAGATATACTAAGTCATAACACCATGAGGCAATTCCACAGCTGTGTAAAGTAATGTGACAGTAGATATGCTAGATCATAACACCATGAGGCAATACTATAGGTGTGTAAAGTAATGTGGCTGTAAATATGCTAGGTCATAACACCATGAGACAATACCACAGCTGTGTAAAGTAATGTGACTGTAGATATGCTAGGTCATAACACCATGAGGCAATACCATAGGTGTGTAAAGTAATGTGACTGTAGATATGCTAGGTCATAACACCATGAGGCAATACCATAGGTGTGTAAAGTAATGTGACTGTAGATATGCTAGGTCATAACACCATGAGGCAATACCATAGGTGTGTAAAGTAATGTGACTGTAAATATGCTAGGTCATAACATCGTGAGGTGGGGTGGTCAGTTCTCTTCTTTGCTTTCGTCTTTGCATCAATTTTTTCAAAACTCACTTGACCTAGGCTAAAGTAACAAAAGAACCTAATAACATGGAAAAGAGAATTAGACTTTGTCTTGGTCTTGGTCGGGGTTTTAATTTCACTGCAATCAGGTTTCCCCATACTTGCTTTGTTCCTGTGCCAGTGAAAATCAAATGAAATTTCCCTCACTGTCTTATTTGAAAAACTGGTAAACAAACAATTAGTTCTGGAACAATCCATAAATATGGGCATGCAGGAAATGTAGAAGGCAGTTGCTAGAAGCACCAAAGCCAACAGTCGCCACCAGAAATGCAGTTTGTCGTTGATGGAAGTAGTCGGACAAGATAAGCTGGCTATACACACGGAGAATTATTACATAAGGTATTTCACCAGCTCACACGTAAACCGGCTTCCGGCCAAATTGAATACCATGACACAAACACTGCACAGATTAAAGGCATTATACATGGAAAAAATAAATAGCTCACAGGGCTGCACCAAGCACTAAACTCAGTAGCTCAGGCTACTATGTGGAAACTGCATTAGCAAAGCGCTGTTGGAAGCAAAAATAACTTTGAAGCTAAACATTTTGCCATGCCTAATAAGAATTAGAGAATTAGAAATCAAGATAAATAATAGTTAGTTAGTAAGTAAACAGATGAACCTCACTGCGCACCAAACCACTCAGTCGCTGACTACTGGGATACCCTCCTCAGTATATCCCTCAGCATGCTGGGATTGACACCAGTTCTGTATTGGTTCATTATTCTTCTATAACTTACCTCATAGTGCTCCTGTCTGGCCTCACCCCTTCTGACTTACTGTGTTTTTTTTAATTAACTTTTATTAACATCGGTTTAGTCTGTCTTGGAAAATTTTTGCATTCAATATTTATACTATTTTCTGAT